CCCCCCCCTTTTAGGTGTGCCCCGTGTGGCTGTTTTCCTTACTTCTGATGTTCCCAAGGAGCCAGAGAGTGATCTATGGGTCCAGTCCTACAGCCACCACGGAGCAGTGTATGGATGCCAAATTAACATTGTTAAAGGCAACCCCCACGTCCAGGAAGGCTGCCAGCGCATATTGCTTGTGATTCAGTGCTTGTTCTATACTCCCAACAACCTCGTGCAGGGCCGTTTTAACCAACCTAACTTTACAGTAGGCATGCTGAGCCTCGCTAAAGTTCCCAGGAGTAAGGCGTTGCATGATCTGCAGACTCAGAAGCCTCTCCATTATTTTGAGAAGAAATGATGAGAGGCTGATGGGCCTAAAATCTTTTGCAGTGCTGTGCCCCGCTTTTCCTGCTTTGGGAATGAAAACCACTCTTACATCCCTCCATGACTTTGGGATGTAGCCTAGGAGGAGACTCGCCCTATAGATTGTCGTTAGCCAGGGGGTTACCATGGCGCTTGTTCGTTGTAGCATGGCTGGAAAGATCCCATCCGGTCCCGGAGATTTGTAGGGTTGGAAGGATCTGATAGCCCAAGCTACTTTGTCTGTAGTGATGATTTCGTCCGCTGGACTGCCTTGCCTGTGGGTACTAGGGAGTTCTGTCACAGGAGTTCCTGTGTCCCCTGCGTCACCGCAGCCAGGGAAGTGGACGTCCATAAGGTGTTCCAGTGNCCCCGCTTTTCCTGCTTTGGGAATGAAAACCACTCTTACATCCCTCCATGACTTTGGGATGTAGCCTAGGAGGAGACTCGCCCTATAGATTGTCGTTAGCCAGGGGGTTACCATGGCGCTTGTTCGTTGTAGCATGGCTGGAAAGATCCCATCCGGTCCCGGAGATTTGTAGGGTTGGAAGGATCTGATAGCCCAAGCTACTTTGTCTGTAGTGATGATTTCGTCCGCTGGACTGCCTTGCCTGTGGGTACTAGGGAGTTCTGTCACAGGAGTTCCTGTGTCCCCTGCGTCACCGCAGCCAGGGAAGTGGACGTCCATAAGGTGTTCCAGTGTTTCTGGGCTGCTTTCGGTGTGCCCTCCTTCTGGCTTTTTAAGAAAACCGGGAGGAACCGGGTTTTTCGAGAGGCACCTTCTTAGTCGCGCGGTATCAGTAGTTGTTTCGAGGTTCTCGCAAAATTTGGACCACGAAACCTTCTTTGCTTTCTTTATCTCTTTCTTGAACGCATTGAAGTTGCGACGATATTCGTCCCAGTCCTCCGCGTTCTTAGTGAACTTCGCTTTATTGAAAGCTTTCCTAGCTGCTATACTAAGCCGCTTTAAATCGGCCGTCCACCACCTTGGGTGTCGCTTAGAAGGTTTGCTCTCGGGACAGGTTGTTATGTAACATTCGTTGAGAGACTTCGTTAGACAGAGGACCGCTCCCTCCAGTTGGTCCGCTGAAATTGGCTCCACCGTGTACGGTGGATTCGCTCCAGACACCAACTGGCTGAATTTATTCCAATTTGCCCTACAAGAATTTCGATAAGGTTTTAATGTCGGTCTGCTTAGGTTAATGGAGAACACGATGCAACAATGATCAGAAAAAGAGCAATTAGTCGAGACTTGCCAGCCGTCAACCCTAACATTATTCGTGTTAGTTACAAGTGTTATATCTATAACCTCCTCCCTTATTCTATTGTAGAAAGTGGGGTGATTACCCTTGTTACAGATAGTAAGTTTTGTGGATAATAAGTAACTAAAGAGTGACTCACCTCTATCGTTGATGTTCGAGCTGTTCCACGCCGTGCGGTGAGCGTTGGGGTCACAGCCAGCCACCATATTTATCCTTCGTTGCAACGCCCAGGCGGTGAGTTTCCTGAAGGATATTGACGGGGAATCGGGTACATCGTATGGCATGTATAAAGATGCAAGGCGAGTTCGGGTGCTCCCCTCTGATCCAACATTGCCACTGTCATGTCCGAATCTCTAAATTGGGGAAGAAAGATAATATTAGTGCTTTTCTTAACCAGAATACAGCTTCTAATTTTACCTTCGGTCTGTGGGGTGAGAAGTAGAAAGTCGCTAGTAGATAGACCTGTGACCTTCCCCGCCACTAGTCAGGGTTCTTGTATTAGGGCCACGTCCACATCTTCCTCACCCATGAAGAGCAGCAGATGCTCTTGCTCGATGCTGCCCTGCAGTGATGCAGATTAATCTGCACCACCTTTAGGCTTTTCAGATTCTCTTTCAGGATCGGGGATGACCACCCTAAGGGATCTTATTTGGCCGGCTTTGCGACGGAGGATCTGCAAGGATTGTCGACCGATGTTGATCCAAAGGTCCTTGCCGTTACCCTTGTCGCGAACGCGGCCTCGGACAATCGTCCAGTCGTCAGGGATGACATCCACGTTCTGACATTTGATTAGGGCTAGTGAGGTAGTGATTTCGCCAAGTAGTGCCCTCACAATCTTTTCTTCAAGGAGCTACCATTTTTCCGTCGGAATCTCTTCTTCCGGGTGATTCCTGTCTATGATTGCTACCTGGAGCTCTGGTGCTGAGCATAAGGTCGATGAAGTTTTCACCTGCTTCTGCTCAGTCTGTGTTTTCTTGTCGCCAAACAGTTGTCTCTTCGGAGTGCTTGCAACGGGTCCCTTACCACCGGAGGCAATAGCAGCTGCCGACGTCGGGGCCTTCTCCCCGTCCAGCCGTGGGAACACTGGCCTCGCGGTCTTCGGCTCCTTGGGCGTCAGTGATTGCGACAGCTTGTTGTTTCCAACAGCGGACAGGGGAGCAGATTTCTGCTGCGCAGCAATAAATATAAAACATTAACAAAACAACAAACAAACTAATAAACGTATGAACACACAACAAATAAACAGTAGAGTTTTACAAAAAAGAGTTGTTAACTTACATTACAATGAAAATTAAACTTTGAAACATAAAACTAAAAATCGTTACCAACGCTTGTGGTAGCTTTGTCTGAACTGAATATTACTAATATTTATAAACATAATAAATAAACTGCAGCGATGTCATCAGTATCCTCTTTCTTGTTCAGTGCATTGTCCCTTTTCTGCATTATTCTTAAGCTTTCTAATGTAAATCTTGTTTTTGCTCTTTAATGCTAATGTTTTATATTTATTGCTGCGCAGGTAAATAAACGAAAAAATCCCCTGAAGATGCCAAAAATCTTAGCGAAACATCGGGAAAAAGCTAAATAAAGTCTTTTTATTTACACAACGGTTAGATGAGAAAAACCTAACAAATTTCCAATTTCAACAATTCTAAACTGACCAGAAAAACAAAACAAATACATTAAAAAAAATATTTTTTTAATTAGATTTAAGAATAACAAGAAAAAAACCTTAGATAAAAATATAAACAAAGGAATTAGTATAAAAAAATTAAAAATTAAAAAAATTTCCCTGCGCCCGGGCTTGAACCTGGTACCTCAGGCATACCACTCGAGTGCTTTGCTCTGTCGGCGCATTGCGACTGTTGGCCAATGTGCTCATGGGCGCGCGAGCAAAAAGGCATACTAATGCTTTTCATTGGGCATGAATTGGCAGACTATCTCATCAACTGGTATGATGCTACTAGTATTTCTACTAGTAGATGGTGATGCATAGCCTAAAATTGACATCTCGTAGGACATCGCAATGTTAAAAATACCAATATGAAAAAGGATAGAACGTGAACTAGTTGAGTTGAAACGCAAACTGGTAGAATTCTAGTTCATAACTAGTAGTTTTCCCTGCAGGGAAAATACATTGACAACAAGTAAGAAAGTCTAAATTTGGGCGGAGCCGAACATTAAATACCCGGCGCTAATATTAAATATAGGTTTTCCACCTTTCCGAAAGCTACCGCTACATGATAAGCCCGGGTTTATAAATTTTAAGTAAACTAGCGTCCTTAAATTTCGAAATATTGAAATTTCAAGCATTTCTCAAATTTACCGTTATATGGAAAGCGGCCCTAATTTTAGTTTGATTTCAACAATTTTCAACGGTTTCCTTTTATGTGGCAAGCACAATAACCATACCGAGTTTGGTACAAATTGCTAGAACGGTTAGCGAGATACATATATGCGATCATAAGTGGGCGGTGCCACGCCCATTTTCCAAAATTTTATCATAAACGTATTTCTTGGTAAAGAATTTTTGCAACCATCAACCTTGAATAAATTAGATTCAATATTTACTGATTTATCGAGGATTTCGTATTTCTCTAAATTACCGTTATATGGGATGTGGGCGTGGTTATTGTCCGATTTAAAAAATTTTCGGCCATTTGGTATGCTGTGCCAGGGCCAACAACTGTGCCAAGCTTGGAAGAAAATTGGTGCAGCGGTTACTAAGAGATACACATGTAATCATAAGTGGGCGTGGCTATGCCCATTTTCCAAAAATTTTTAATATTCTTATTTTTCGTCTAAAAATCATTTTAAGTATCAATTTTGAGTGAATTATCTTCAGTAGTTACAAAAAAAACGCAGTTTTCGTATTTCTGAAAATTCAATACCTTCCGCCCTATGCCCAAAAGAAGTGCACATACCAAGTTTCGTTAAGATATCTCAATTTTTAGTCGAGTTATCGTGTGCACAGACAGACGGACGGAC